AAGAAGGTGTAAATCGATCTCTATATTATTTATGTAAACATTTGCGACTTTCCGGAGTATGGAAGACCTACTTTGATGACGGAGATGGATGTGATGTTCGGTGTGATATAACTATTCAAATTGGCCTCAGTGCTATGTGCAGCTTTGAAGTTTTGCTTACATGTCATAGGTTATATCTGTAACCATCCCCATCAATAACATCGTAGTGAGGGAAAGAGTAGTACTTTACATATTCCTGCACCTGAAAGAAACGGAAGACGTGTAATGAGGGAAATGAGTGGAAGCAAGAAGAGCAAACATTTTACCAAGTGATGCTGCTACTGCGAGAAACTATCCAACAGTAAGAAGAGATAGGAGATCCGGGTATTTAACACCATACTTACCACGAACCATGAGAGTATTTTATTAAAATGCTGTCCAACTAAGAAGAAGAGATTAAGCCCTGTCATGATCCTTAACTCCAAGTAGGGTACGCACATTTCCACAGTCGGATAGCATATAACCTTAAGGAATATAACAGTAAGAATTTGCATTCTGCATAGCAATAGCATACCAGCTCTTACCCTTGGACATACACAACGATCACCACATTTATAGCCAATTGTAGCTGGGTATGAAAGCTATCATAAGAGCTGCATGATCAGAACTGTGAGTAAAGTTGTACCTTCATGCTCCTGTAACGACGAATCCTCATTGAGGTTACCGTGGTGCTTCCTCCAGAGTCTCAGGACATACCAAGTGTTATTCCCTAGGGCACCGAGCAAGGTGCCATGTATATCGATGAGTTAGTAATACAGGGCATAGGTGCTTAAAATCACATGAAGAGCATCGAGCAACCTATGAACGTAGTAATAAGTCGCCATCACATCCGACAGGAATGAGCAAACGAACCAAAGTAGTGCGACCTATGCCAGATGAATTAGTGTGATGTCAACATTGAAAGCATTCTGACATACAGAGTAACGGTAGAGCGACCAATCATCAGGATAGCTCTTGTAGTAGATGAGTGTTTGTAGATTTGTTATTCCGAATAACCTATGAAACGGATGAGATAGCATTTCCCAGAGTAAAGAAGCGTACATAGAGGCAATAATAGTGCCAATAAAGAGAGCACCGAATGTATTCCGGATGGTTGGCATATCTCTCAAGTATTGCGAGGACATTAGGTGTAAAAAAGAAAGCTGGTATGCTTCCTTGACTTATAGAGGAGTACGTACTCCTATCGCTGGGGAAGGAACAGATGGTTAAATGAGCAATTAATGTGAATGTTGATGTAACTCGCCTCTGGAAACCTGAGCTTGATATCTCAGCACTACGATTGGAGCTCCAAATTCAACATTGCACGTACCTCTGGAGGAGGTCAATCAGAAGCAATTTCGAACGGGTGTAGAACGCAGATGCAATCCTACTTTTATTGGATGAAATAGGCTATGAAGCTCCGAAGGATTCGGCAAAGGACGCTTGTATTGAGAAAGAGCATATTGTCTTTGCCCGAGAACACTGGTACAATCTAGACCTGCGACCTACCCCCAACGCCATACATCAATATGTGCTCACCACAGCATATTTGGGTGATCTAGCCCTGCTCGATTCTTTTCTGCAAGTATGTTATTGTAATCATTCGTACACTGCGGAATTCTGCTTGATATCGTACCACAATGTGAATTCAAGCCTTTTCCAAAGTCGAGGAGAAGGCCGGGTAGCAGAGCGAAGGTACGGTTTTGGTTCGCCCTGCATCACACCGCGAAACACGGAGGTTATGCTCATTGCCGATCTTGACTCGATGAACGGGCCGGTGAAGTACTTAATATCAGCGTCTCTGAAGAGACTGTGCCGTCTTCTTGTAACTGGTCTGATAAGCCTGGCTAGAAAAAATCATGTTTCGTTCGTTGCACTCGGTGTAGGGTCATGAACCGATGAAAGTCAGGAAGCCTTATTTACAAGGAATCAAACACTCAGTCATACATTCTATAGGGTCCTGGTGATATCATGCCTAGATAACAGCGCACTGAAGAATAAATGGTTGGGTTGCGACCATTCAGGGGGAGCGTAGAATGATACATTTCCCATGTAGCCGGACGAGTTGGCAGCCCCTGCACTAAGAATCCTCACTTATTTCAAACCTGGGAAGGCATGTCTGTTCAAGCCAACGACTTCGATAGCGAGTGTAGCGAAGGCACTAAACTTTTAAGCGGAGAATATTCAGGATAGCTCTATGCCGCTGTTTCTCACGTTGAAGCGATAATTCAGGTAAGCAGCCTAGGCATCGAATATCAGCTCCAGATCCCTGTACGAGACAGTAAACTGACGTCTAAGATGTTCTCGGTGTGAAGGCCGGGAAAAGAGGGAATGATGCCTGCAGTTGTTCCTATCTTTCCCCTTTGTTTTTCGAGCAGTGTCGTTCTCGTCCAAGGAACGATCTGGGATCAAAAATTCGAAATCCTGGCCATCGAAGTAGCGAAAGAAGAATGCTTGAAGGGGGTGCACGAGATGTATATGAACACGGATCGCGGCAAACATAAAGCACTATGTAGAAAGACATGATCTCAATAAGAAGGGAAACAATAGTGTGACCGACGACATTTCCTGCCCGAACAATTGACCAGTACTTCTGCTCTATTTTTCCTCTACAGATATATAGATTGCTTGAGAAGAGGGTGCACTGTCTGAGTCCTCATTACCATCTCTACTTTCAGTTCTTGCCATGGCACATACTTCACGCTACGATAGATCAACGGCAGATCGTCTCCAACTTATATTCGTAGAAGACATCACAAGTTAGGAGGAAATTACGGTTCGACTCCGTATTGTAGTACTGCGGCACAAGAAGATACTTTTTCCTCTTCTCCGATTATACACAGGTCTGAATCTCAACACACAAGGAAGTCTCGAATGTAGAAAATCTCATTGTATAATTGAAGTCACCTAGGCAATGGTAATTCTGGGATTAGAGCGGAGACAATAGGACCCATTATTACATTCACCTCATATCTGCGCGTAATCCAGTTGGTTGGTGTTATCCGTGAATCAATATATACATATAATAAAATGATACAGAGCCTGTAATGCTCATGGATATCGCTGGAGGCGCATTAGCTACTATTAGCTAGCTCGTAGGGTCCGAATGGAAGATAGGCGAACCTGGCCATGCAGAGATCCGATTGTGCAAGTCGTGAAAATGTAACAAAATATAACGGTCGAAGTAGCACAGACGAGCTCCGCTTCAAAGTCGAAACTCTCTTTAGCAACCGGTTAATCCTCACACATTAATAGGTCCAAGGGCATGCGAGAAAAACTGGCCAATAAGCGGGGTCAATCAGAATGAAACCCCTCAAGTGAACGACGGCTCACCTTACGCAACAAACGAGGCTCGGCGTTTCCTCAAAACTCGGAGAGGGTAAGAGGAGAAATGGCGGCGAGAGAAAAAAAGGAAGCTCACTTGTATTGCCGCATCAACGAGTATGTGCCCAGGCGCTTCGTCCTACAGGAAGGGCTTCATAGCCAGAGCCAGCCACAGTCCGATGAAAGATCGCGTAAATGTACCAGGCGTTCGTTGAGAGGACCGTGGGCCGGCGGAATGTGAACGGGAGAAGACATAGAGTATGCCATTATGTGGTATGGTGAATCTGGTCCTTGACGGAGGCTCAGATCTCAGATCTCAGACGAGGAATTGAGAGAAAAACGGACGGCTTACTAGCACCCTCTCTGACAAGTAGAAGCCGGATACAATATAGGGGTACAGTTCACCGGACGGTCAACCGATGCTAATGTGCTTTTTGTCTTGCGTATTACGCATCGTTTTCTCCGCACGTCGGTGTAGATACGATGATATGACCATGATGCAGCATCTACGGCCGGAGTCGGGCAGAAGGAGAATGACATTAGCACAGTGCATGAAGTGGAGAGTGCGATACGTCACCGGAAGTACAATGAGAACGTAAATGATAGCTGAGCCTGACGACTTACCGCTATCCTGTCTGCAATGCGCTGATGCCATCGAACACGTTGTTGTTCCGCAGGGTAGGAGGACCATGGAGGCATCAGTCCCAGAGCAATAAAACGATCCTCAGGCCTGGAGGATACCAGACCAGTTTCAGAGCGATGGACGAGAGAAAAAAAGGGCGAGATTCACCAGCACCACTCCTTGCATCCTACTCACACATCTCTCTACCTCTTTCCTTCCTCTGCCATGGCCGTAGGTCTTTCTATAATTACAATGGTGCAAAATCAAATTTCGTAGGTGAAGCGACATGGACGAGCGAAGAGAAGACGGGATTTCCCAAAACAGAAGTTGAATGCGTACCACGTGATTATGTGATAGACGCGTAGACTTGATAATTTGTTTCCGTCTCATAGCCATAGGCTAGTAAATTTTAGAGCTATACCGTGTAAAATTCCAGGATGAATGACAATCGGAAAACTCCCAGACAATCGTGTCATTCTCAAGATTGTTCGGTTGTGTGTAAAGAAAGTCCTCATGCTCGTGTAGATCTTACCTAAACACCAACCCTCGGCGCGGATATTCCCAGTATTTATTCATCCAATTCATATAATATGGAGGCGATTAATGAAACTGAAGCGTAAACTGCCTCGCTGCAAAAACACAAATCCTATAACTTCCTAGGGCAACAGACGGAGTCGAACCGTGACTGCTACCAGCTGTCATTGACAGGTTCACTATTTGGGAACGAAATATTTCTGGTCATATTACAAGACGAATGAAACCGTGATGATTGCAGATGACAAGAGGAATTCTCATTGTCTCATTGAATAACCGTATTTTGACTCTCCTATTTTAGCGCAGCGAGACTTGGACTCGTAGGGGGTACAAATCAACATCTTCCCGGACCAAGAAACTGAGTTCATGAAAAGAAAAGCACTATGATGATGATAGAGCAGACAAAACGATGGCCCAACCCGACAAGAACGAAAGCACGGCACCCTCATCACCAAGCCCTTGACGTATCCTTTCACTTACCATATATACCACTATCCTCAATGCCACGGTAGATCAATGGTAGATCACATCTAGCATATTCTCTACAAGACGGCGTTCACGATGAGATCATGGTTCGAATCCATGTCATGGCAGTCACGTATTCCCGGTGTGTAAGAATCATTTTAGTTCGTCGATCTGAACAGCAAGTCAGATTTGCCTTGAACTTGGTTCTCAATTCTGATTTTAACTCGGGTTACTATGGACAAGCCTCGCCTACGTTTTTGTATCTCGAACTTGCCTTCATAATGACTGTGAATCGTCCATACACCCACAAAGCCGCAGGGGATGTGTCTCCCTGTCTTTCTCTTCTATGTAGTGTAGTCATCTCTCGTGGCCGAGTTCGCTTAAAAATCAACCATACCTGACTAAAAGCCGCACAATAGTAAACCAAGAAAACATGAATCCTCCTATGATTGTCATTATATTACGCCCCCAGGGTCACAACTGCAAAGATAGCGAATTAACAATGATGATGTCAGGCGCAGTAGTAGTCGGCTATAGCACACGGTATCAATGAGCAGTTCATGCCAGGGAGCGGAGAGAGGGAATGGGACCTACATCTACAAGCATATCAGCAACAATGCCGTAGTTTCAGGAAACCGTAACCTATAGTATGATGTGAATCAGAAATTCTGCTTCCTGATAATACTTAGACAAATACTGAATAGAGGAAGTGGAAGTATGTTCGGAGCTGCGTAAAATGCATCTACATTTTCAAGAAAGTGCCCCCATGGACAGGCGCTCGCAGTCGAACGAATGGAACGACCGCAGAGGTGGCGCTCGGAAATGGAGTCCACGATTGCTCGGCGTAAAGTACGGATCCAGAGGATACACGATCGGTAACTCGCATCGTCATCTTAGTTCCGACGTGCTGTCCCCGAGAGAACAAGTGCTGTCAGTTGGTTCCTGAAACCAAAGACGATTTTAGAATCAGGAAGCCGGAGAGATACCAGAGTGTATGCGCTAGACATCAGGGTCAGAAACGCCCTATGATAGCATACAATCAGTCATCGTGTCGTAGGAGGAGAAACACGAGCATCTGAGAGGTTCTCAGTGAGAAGGAATACGAAAGGGGGAACGGTGCTCTCTTCTTTCCTCCTCCCCTTCCGAGTCTCATTTTCTTCCACGTAGGAGCCGGGACAGAAAATCGGAGAATTCGGATCGTCTGTGCAGACTGAAGTGGCGCGAAAGAAGAAAGCTGACAGACTGGAACTACGAAGGATGTATATGAGCACAGATACCGATTACCGAACATCGAGTGTGATATGTCGATTTTAGGAAGACGCCATCTCAATAAGAAGGGAAGAAATAGAATGACGGGTGACTTAGCATTATCGTTCCCAAGTTTCACTGGCACGACCACTGCAATCTCCCATCTCTCCAGTATCGGCCTCAGGGAGCGATAACCACGAAGACATTCACCTCTGTGCAAAAGACTGTTATCACGACGACGTTCAGCTATAGTGGATCCTACACCGACTTCAGAGCAAGAAAAAGCTGAGAGAAAGAGCCACTTGTTACCTGGTGTACCCGGCTTGAGCATATTTTAGCTTCCTTCAAGTATTTCCCTGGAAAGTATCGTACAATTAGTGGTACACGTTTTGAAGACTTGGACGTGCCACGCGTTAGGAGATAAATGATGTGGTGGGACAGGAGGAAAGACGAGCTTCCCAAAACGCCAACCAAGGTCCTGTGCTCCATGTGACTTAGACGCGACGCGTCGTGCACGCATCATCCCCTCTCTCGCCTAGTACTTATTAACATTAAATGCTCTGCTTGATAAAATGCTGTCCATGACTAAGATATAACGCAGATGTCAAATACCCTGGAGATCAACGTGTTGCTTTCCATGGACTATTGTGCATCCAGGTTCAAACCTTTCGAGAACGACGCCCAGTCCCGGTCCAAATGTGGAGACAGAACTGATTAGAAGCAAATTTAAGACAGTGGTAGGACATGTACAACTGAGACATTTGCTCTAAGAGGGAAAAAAAAATGTATTTTCTCCATGAATGGCAACAGGCGGGGTCGAACCGTGAGTATCACTCCTGCAGCCGTTGGCAGGTTCACAAATGGGGAACAGAATATTTGGGAGCACAGATATACAACATCGGATTTATTATTATGGTCGTATCTAAGCTTCTGAGGACAGTTATTGCAACTGTCTCGCTGGTAACTTGGATTCTCAGATCACAGACTGATATGCATAGATCGCAGTGAGGGACACTGAGATAAATGAGCTATAGTGGTGGTTGCCAGAGAAGCGAGAATAATGCAAAATTGCGCAAGTTGATAACACAGTATGGTATTGGCAGTTGTTGGTCATTTCCTTTCACTAGCCATATATTACACGGTCCTCCATGCCATCATGGATCAACGGTAAATCATCTGTAACGACTTCTATAATGTACAGGAGAAACTTACAGTTCGAGTCCGTGTTATGGCAATGACTTAGAAACTGGACAGTTCTTTTTCGTTTACCGGTCTGGAGTCCCGCCCCAACATTGGAATCAGGCGTCATGAAGTGTAATCATTCCTTCTGCTTGTTCTACAGGTTAGTGGTAACCTTATCCCTAATACTTGCTGCATTTCTCACCTTTGTCCTCGAAAAAGTTCCATCTTGTCGATCAAAGCTTCTGTTCGAAAGATATGGTACGGTGGCAATGATTCTTCCCTGTGATTTTCTACCGCTGTATCTGTTGAAGCTGCGCCTGAGTTAGTATGAACCTCTTGCACGAATCAGTATGGTGTCATCAATCTGAGTCCGAGAAGAACTTTGAAAATGTAATCTTTCACGTCTGTTACCTGATAGAGTTTTGGGAGACCAGACGACACTCAGGAACAAGAGCGTAATGTCATTAAGAAAGCCAGATTATGAATACTTAACCAGATCATGGAATATTTCACGTTGGATTGTATTTATTTGATGTAATTCTGAATTCAAGTTGCGGGTGTGGATTAGTAGTTGGGCATTCCACCAATCTAATGACCAATTTATAAGATTTTTGAATGTACATGGAGTAATTTTTACTGAGACTCAGGATAGCGTCGAGAAAAATCGACTGAATGGTCCTGCAAGGACAACATAGGGCTGATAATAGGCGGCATGATGGTCGGAAAATAACAGGATATGGATAGTGAGAGGCAGCGATATGCAGTGGCAAAACCCGAAGGCCCCATATACTGACAAGGCGGTAAGGCGTGTCAGCAAGGAAACAGAAAGACGAAAACATACTCATTTTTACCCGCTGAAAAGCAACAGTCATTCTTTATGCATGTAAAAACAATAATCTAACGTCCCAGACCGACACGATAAGAAATGAAAGAGATGTAACGCGACAAAAGGACAAAAACTCCGCCAAAAAAAGTTATCGAGGACTAACATTTCCACTTGTTTGGCACACTGCACCGGACGTGTTCCTCTCACATGCCAGCCAATTCTACTCGCTGCACTCGCAATGAGTCAGGAGGAGAAAGATAGTGGTTGATGACTCACTAGTATTTGCTTGCCATTGTCTATCGCGGAATTGGGAAAGAAATCATAGGCCTATGACCATTTCAACGATCCCCCAAAGTCGAGGACTGGCAGATGCTACACCAATTTCAGAATGAGAGAGAGAAAAAAACAGAAGGCGATACTCACCATCGCTACTACTCCATGCAGATCTGTTAAGGAACAACGAACTACGAGAACATAAGTACTACAGAAGTAAGTATTATAGATGAAAACGTACCTCAGTCTCCACTCGATATGGTGGTAAAAGACTGAGGTACGCTGGTGAGAAACGAGCGCGAAAATACTACGGTAGTGATCGCGCAACTCAATGTAAACCTTGGTACCTAATAATAGTCCATGCCCGAGGAGACCGTATGGGTGTCGACTGAACCTCTTGACAAGATCCTAATCTCTGCCGCCCTTGAGCACCACTCTTGCGATATGGAGAGCCTCGTTATGACTTTAAGTCTGATGACCAGAAAGCAGATTTCACGATGTCAGGAAGGTCATGGGTGGAGGGAAAGAAGGGTTTTTTTCCCAAAACAGATGCGCAAATGCGTACCACGTGATTGACAGTCAGACGCAACTTAGACGTGCCAACAAAGATTCAAAAAAGAGTACGGGAGGCCAAATACCATACCTTCGACAGAGTTTTGCGCAAGGTCAAACATAATTTTATATTGAAGAAAAATATACGATGTATTCTCTAATCGGACAGACAGGGTCAAATTGTGGCTGCTCCTAGCTATCGTCGACAAATTTGCGATCCGGGCATGGATCATTAATGACTGGTTACAGTAATAGGGATTATGTGGATAAATATACAGACATGAAAGGAAACATCCCGTTAAATAACAGTGCTTATGTTGACCAAATTTCGACTCCTGGTGATAAGTATCAGTGAAGAAAGCCTGCAGGATAGCGTGTGCCCACAGAACTTCCAAAAAGGATGCAGTGCATCCTAGCTGTCATTGTATATGATTCCCCACATGCCAAACTGGATTCACGGTTTGTTGTTTCTACTAATCCACAAAACCCACACGCGATAAAACCACGGGTTCCGTGTCATGGCAATTTCCGAAACATCACATAACAATATTTTTTTCTTTATTGATCTGAAGTCCTGAACAATTGAGGTGACTGTAGTTCTGCTTTCTTGTTTTTCCTCCGCAGAGGTTCTACATATCTAAGCTGCTGCGCCTGGGGAGTAATAGAGGAGTGCAGAAGTACACGATGTGGATCCGCATCAATGTCCTTCCTTTGCCAAGTCCTTGCTATAACACATCTTCATGCCACGATAGATCAACGGTAGATTGTTTCCAACTTATAGTCATGATGCTGACTATCATAAGCTAGGAGGAAGTTACGGTTCGACTCCGTGTTGTGCCACTGCTGCATCAGGTGTACTTTTTGTCCCCAAATAAAAATTTCACATGCCTTCTATTCAATCATATGACAGATCTAAGTCTCTAAAATGCAGAGAGGTTTCGAACATGGAAAATCTCATCATATAATTAAAGTCGTCAAGGCAGTCCAGTATCAATTCTGCGAGCAGGGTGGGGAAAACGGGAGCCACGCTTTCATTCGCCTTATGCATGCACGTAATCCATCTGGATACTTCTTATTATCGATGAATCAGTAGAAATATGGACTCACTACAATAATATGACCCACAATGATAACAGAACCTGTAACACTCATGGATATGGCTAGAAGGGTGCTAATGACGACCTTCTGAATCAAATATAGCCAATACGAAGTTGGGCATACAGAATTAGAGTCGTCGGAGCCGTGGAGGAAAGAACATACAGCATGTCAATACGGTTTATGAAGTCAGAAGGAGCTCAATTTCTGTGAACATCCCCACAACTCCGGGTATGTGGGAGGGTCAATGAGAATAGATACGATAGAGTGAACGACAGCTCACCATTCACAGCAATCCAGGCTCGACATTGGTTGATGGTCTTCAAAATGGAGGATCAGCAGAGACAGAGGTGAGAGAAAAATGCAGACTCACTTGTATTGATGCCTGTTGAAGGACCACACGGAAAGCACGATGATAAATGGATCAGGAGTTGCAGGCAGGAGACGAACAGGAGTAAGCTGAGAGTTTGATCATCAAGCATGAGCCTGGTAGGTGGTGGAGGCTATGGGGACGTCAGACAAAGAAGTGAGAGAAAAGCGGGCGACTCACTAGCATGCTCTCTGGCGAGTGGAAGCCGATGAAAGACATAGAGTTATAGTTCTCTCCTTGCCCATCAATGTATCGGAGGTCGTTTTCTGGCGCATCTTGTTGTAGATATCAGCATATGACTTGACACAACTCTGTAGAAAGTTGTTCGGGACAGTCGGAGTCGGGTGAAAGGAGAATGGGGGCAAACCACATAAGTCATAGCTCATGTAGCATAGAGTGAGGAACATCACATCACTGAGAAAGAAAGTTATAGTGTCTGATGTGGGCGACACTTTGCTACTCTGTCCACTGGTAACATAAAACACATTGTTGTTTCCCAGGGGAGCAGAACCAAGGGGACATGAACATAATAACGATCCTCAAAGTCGAGAACTGGTGCATACCATGCCAGTTTCAGAACAATAGAAGAGAAAAGCAAGGGCGATACTCACCAGCACCGCTCCTTGCATCCTATCTCTCTGCTTCCATCTATCTTCCTTCTTTCCAAAAATGACCTAGCCCTAAGTCACTCCATGATTCTGATGGCGGAAAAAAAAGTTTTGTAGATAAAGCGAAGTGAGCAAGAGGAGCTAAAGACGATGTCGGATGTTTCCCAAAATGGGGGACTCACGCATGCCATGTGATCATGATGGCTAAGGCATCCAAGACGCTTCGACTTCATAAGGTGATTGCATCTCACAACCATACACTCGTAATTTTTGGCACTCCATAGTGTAAAATTCCAGGATGAACAACACAGATGGCCAACTCCCAGAATATCATGTCGTTTTCAAGATGGGTAAAGTCCTCATCAACTCACGCTCTTGTCTAAATACCAAAGCTCAGCGTCAGTCCCAGTATTTATTTGGATGCCATCAATGAAACTGAAGTATAGACCTCATTGCTGCAAAAAGAATGTCCATAACTCACTAGGGCAACAGACGGAGTCGAACCGTGACTGCTTACACCTATTGGCATGTTCACCATTTGGGAGCGAGGTAGTACTGTAGGAGAGTGCACTTGTTGTGGACTACGAGAAAAATATCCATGCTGGTGACAGAGCAGAAAGGACAATAGCCCAACTGGCAACCTGATAAGAACGATAGGCTCGATAGCACGGGACCCTCACCACTAAAGTACTGACCCATCGAATCTCGACATATCCTTCACTGCATATACCATTAATTCTACATGCCACGGTAGATCAATGGTAGATCGCATCCAGCATATGATCGATATCCTCTATGAGAACGTTCACGATGAGATCATGGTTCGAATCCATGTTGTAGCAATTATTCCTTTCAATGGTATCAAATAAGTCCTTAGGACCAGCGAGATTCAGCTTTAATTTTGACTTGGGTTAATAATGAGATTATCGTTCAGTTCCGTCTGCGTTTTTATAATTCGAACCTTTGTCTCTATAAGCTTAAAGGCTGCGGGGTCTCCCAACATAGTTTCCAACCGAGTCTGAGTACAAATCATAGTACATTGTTTCTCCCTGTCGTTATTTTGCAGTGGATATATATCGTAGTCTAGTTCACTAAACTGAATAGTGACTGAGACAACAGAATTGAAATTCACGTGTCAATGTCATCGTATCACAGGCGCACTCCCAAAATATCGAATTTAATTCTAGAGTTTTACATTGCTGGCAGACGTACTGGAAATCGACTGGAACATGCGGTTGCAAAGAGAAGCCTACACAGCCAACGAGCCAAGCAAGGGAATGGGACTTGCGCCTAGAAGTATATTAGTGACAATAATGCAGCTTCAGAGGACATGGACCTTACGTTGGATGGCATGAATCAAAAGTATGGCTTTCCGATAATGATCGTAGCACGGATAGATGATATTGAGTCGCACAGGCAGAGGTGAAGTGGTCAGAGCTGCTGTGGATGTTAGGTTACACAATGTACTGGCATTTCCTGGGAGCACTGACGAGCTCATCCTCATGGCCAGGCGTTCATGATATAGACCCGGTTGAATCGTTCGTAACGTCATCCAAGTGCATTGATCGAATGACCCTGAGGCTGTGCTCGTAGCAAAATAAAGAAAACAGGGCGGGTCAGCATATGGTGTTGATTCACAAATTGACGGTTTGAGAGAGGCTACACTCAACTTCAGAGAAGGACGAGAGAGAAAAAATTAGTGACTGACTTCGTCATCTTCGTTTTGACGCATCCTGGACATTTAGATTGTCCCTCTACACGAGAAGCCTTAAGTTGAGCATGTCGTAGCAGATAGTATCTGGAAACAATAATGACTTAAGAGGGAGGAGCGGAAGAGAACAGGATGACTCGCTAGCATATGCTCTAGATGGAAAGATGGAGAGCTGCATGCTTCGAGATTCCAGAGCATAGGCGCCGGACACTAGGGTTGTATATGCAATAGCATGCACCTGGCTCGCCGTGTCGTAGGGGGGGGGGCAACACGAGCATCTAGGAAGCTCTCCGTGAGAAGGCCGAGAAAAGAGTGAACGATGCCTGCCTTTACTCTGTTTGTTCACCCTCGCCTTTCAAGCTTTTTCTTCCACGTACGAGCTGGGGTAGAAAATTGGAGCATCTGGGTCGTCGGAGCAGACTGGTGCGGAAGAAGAAAGGTTACAGACGTTGATGAGGGCGCACAGGATGTATATGTGCACAGATCACAATCCAAGAGCACGGAGTGTGATACGTCGACTGTGAAGAGACACAATATCAATAAGGAAAGCTGTAGAGGGACCGACGACCTACTGTTATCCTTCCGGAATTCCACAAACACATCGATTGTCGTCTCTAAACTCTCATGATCTCATCTCTCAGGTATCCACCTCATGGAGAGGTGAACAGAAAGAAATTCGTCTCAGTGCATCAGAGTGGACTTTGAGGCGACGTTGAAATGCGGTAGATGCTATGCCGACATCAGTGCCAGAAAAAAGAGAGAAAGGACGACTCACCCATGCATGTCCTGCTCAAATATCTATATCCTCCTTTCGCGCAGATAACCTCCAAATGAGGTGTAATTGTAGGCCTTCTGAAAACTTGGACAAAATCGATGTCATGGGCGGAGGGAAAGACGAGTTCCCCAAAATGGAATAGAAGCCAGGTGAGGATCTATATTCCACGTGACTGAGACGCGATGCGTTGTTGACCATGACGCGTCGATCCCTCTCATCTAGTACTTATGAATATTAACCGCTCTGCTTGATAAAAAGCTCTCCAATATATAGCGCCGATGGAAAATGCCCGGAAATCAATGCGTCGCTTCGCATCGTGCGTCGGGGCTCGAAATTTTTGAGGAACGACGCCCAGTCCCCATCCAAAATTCTCGCCGGAATTCATCATAAGCAACTTAATCACTCTATGTGAGAGACGGGTAGGGCATATACCACAGCGACATATGATTTAAGGGGAAAAAACACATGAAATCGTTGAATGGCAACAGGCGGGCTCGAACCACGACTATTGCTGCTGTTGACAGGTTCACGAAAGCGGGGGCGGGATATTTGGGAACACAGAC